TGAGGAAGAAGGAATACAAGTAGGAAATATGGATTCCCCTGATGTTTCCCCCATGGACAAGAATGCACAGCCCAAGAGATCACAGAGCGAGGTGAAGTCGACCATAAATTCTCCATGGATTTTGACAATGCCTGTTAAGAGGAAAATGAGGAATATGGAGGAAAATGACAAGTTTTTTAACATGATATCTCGCATGTGTTCATGTCAGGAGGGTGACATGTAAGTTACTATTCACATGACTCTGAATGATATTACTTATCGGTTGTTTACTGATTAACTACACACATAATGATGTTGGGAACACATTTTTAGGCCTTTAGTTAAAATATCTGATGAGGATATCACTCGAGATCAGCTAAAGACACTTAGAGGAATTGAGAGAATAGGTAATCGTGTAAGTTAGTATTGTGATCTTGGGCTGAGTACTATAACTTTTATATTTGATGCTCATGTATACCTGTGGGAAAAACTAAAATTTACTTGCAAACAACTCATGTCAGTTGTGTGCAAGACTTTACTGGCTGATATGAAGAGTGAAGGAGAAGTGAAGCGACACATATTTGATGCTGACTTTATGGTAAGATTACTAAGATGTTTACAAAATAATTACTGCTACATGACTAATCATTCAATGCTGCAGGCAATACTAGCTGCGAACCCATCTCGGTGGGATGCTAAAAAACGAGAAAAACAGTTTCTGCCTGAATGTGTCGGTTACAACATGGAGACCGTGACTTGATATTTGGACCTACACTTGTTGGTGCTCACTGGTTTTGTCTTGTGCTTGAGCCTAAGACAATGAATTTCTATGTGCTGGACTCAATGAAGCCAAGTTTTTCTGCTAAGAAGAGTAAGAAGAAAGGTGCAGTGATGATGATATGATGACTGTGGTCACTAGATGTGTAAGAATATTGTTACTGTTCTTGTGAAAGATGCTATTTGTTTACCAAATTATTTACAAATGCAAGTATGCGTTGTGCAAAGGGATCGATTTTATGACATGATTGAGATAGTAAAGCCCAATACCATTGGAAAGAAGCAGATGAGTGACATTATTTGGGCCTCTGTTCCTCAACAAAACAATCTGTGAGTGGTATTACTTGTTGATGTAATAATGTATGAATGCTACTTCGTGTTTCACTCATGGACATTGTTGCCATGTGCAGGCGAGACTGTGGCGTTCATGTTTTAATATGGTTGAGCATATGGGAGCCCGGTATGATGCTCGACTACAGTGAAGAAAATGTTGCTGATTTCCGACGAAGCCTAATGTGGTGGCTTGTTAATCATGAGCTCAATTCAAGGCGTGAAGAAGCATTGAAATTGCTGTCATCCATAGATCCCACACCGAGGAAAAAGCAGCAGGCATCACGGCACTAAATTGTGTTGTCTAAGTTTAATGATGTTTTAGTTAAAGTTATGTATGTAAGAGGATTTGCAAACTGTTTTCAGGAAATGTAAAGGTGCCTTATTTTCAAGTAATGTTAAACCATTTTCCAATAGTGTTACTACACATGTAACGAGATTTACAACTGTCGAAGTGAATTTGACTATTTCTTCAAATGACTTGACAACCTGTTTTAAGAGGCAGGGCAACTTTTCTCAACAAGAACACAAATACCACACTGAGTTTGACAAAACACATAGTGGGAATAACAACTTTTACAGTGAGTGTTATTAGTTGTTCAGTGGGTTTTCCAACCTTATGTTTATTGGACTAGGCAACTTTGGTTTTAAAACGATACATCTCGGCGATGAATTTTGCAAAACACATAGTGGGATTTACAATGTTCACAGTGAGTTTTACAACTTCTGTAATGGGTTTTGCAACCTTCTGTTTTTCTCTGGGCAACCTTTCTTTCACAAACTATACAATTCCAAGCTGAATTTCATAAAACACATAGTGGGAATAACAACTTTCATAGTGCGATTTACTATTTGTACAGTGGGTTTTGCATCCCTATGTTTATTGGGCTGGGCAACTTTGGTTCTAAAACAGTAGAACTCGGCACTGAATTTTGCAAAACATATAGTGAGATGTACAACTTTCATATAGTGAGTTTTACAACTTCTGTAATGGGTTTTGCAACCTTCTATTTTTCTCTGGGTAACCTTTCAGAAACCATACAATTCCACGCTGAATTTCACAAAACACATAGTGGGATTTACAACTTTCACAGTGCGATTTACTACTTGTATAGTGGGTTTTACAGCTTTATGTTTATTGGGCTGGGCAACTTTGGTTTTAAAACAATAAAACTTGGCACTGAATTTTGCAAAACACATAGTGAGATTTACAACTTTCACAGTGCAATTTACTACTTGTATAGTGGGTTTTGCAGCCTTAAGTTTATTGGGCTGGGCAACTTTGGTTTTAAAGCAATAGAACTCGGCGCTGAATTTTGCAAAACACATAGTGGGATTTACAACTTTCACAGTGGGATTTACTACTTTTATAGTGGGTTTTGCAGCTTATGTTTATTGGGCTTGTCAACTTTGGTTTTAAAACGATACAACTCGGCGATGAATTTTGCAAAACACATAGTGAGATTTATAACTTTCACATCACGATTTACTACTTGTATAGTGGGTTTTGCAGCCTTAAGTTTATTGGGCTGGACAACTTTGGTTTTTAAAAAATAGAACTCGGTGCTGAATTTTGCAAAACATAGTGGGATTTACAACTTTTACAACGCGATTTACTACTTGTATATTGGGTTTTGCAGCCTTATGTTTATTGGGCTTGGCAACTTTGGTTTTAAAATGATACAACTTGGTGATGAATTTTGCAAAACACATAGTGAGATTTACAACTTTCACATCGTGATTTACTACTTGTATAGTGGGTTTTGCAGCCTTATGTTTATTGGGCTGGGCAACTTTGATTTTAAAACAATAGAACTCAGTGCTGAATTTTGCAAAACACATAGTGGGATTTACAACTTTTACAACGCGATTTACTACTTGTATATTGGGTTTTGCAGCCTTATGTTTATTGGGCTGGGCAACTTTGGTTTTAAAACGATACAACTCGGTGATAAATTTTGCAAAATATATAGTGGGATTTACAACTTTCTCAGTGTGATTTACTACTTGTATACTGGGTTTTGCAACCTTTTAGCGGGCTGGGTAGATTTTCTGCCCAGAACAATACAATTCGATGCTGAATTTTACCAAAAATTAGTAGCAATATACAGCAGATACATTACATATATTCAAATGACTGCACCTCAAGGACATCACGGTAAACATTGAACCATTAACTTTCATACTAACTATACGTGCAATGGAATGTACCATTCACGCAACAGAATTTACCAAAAACCAGCAGCAATATGATAGCAGATACATTACATATATTCAAATGACTGCACCTCAAGTACATCACGGTAAACATTGAACCATTAACTTTCATACTAACTACACGTGCAATGGAATGTACCATTCACGCAACAGTATTTACCAAAAACTAGCAGCAATATGACAGCAGATACATTACATATATTCAAATAACAAGTTAACATTAAGATTAAACCAGCACTTAATGTTTTCTTGTCATTCAACCCACAAAACATATCCCATTCATTAAAATCATATGCAAATATGATACCCTGTCTATTAACCCATGTACCAAAAAAGGTTAAGAAGGGTTCAAAAGTCATTCCATTTACACCAAAAATCACCATATCTATTGACATCTAACTTCAACTTGGGTTTGGATTTTGCATGTTCTTCTTGTGTGCCCAACTTGTTGGCATGTGCTACAATGGTAGATCTTTCTATTTTGGAACTGTGACTCTCGTCTTTTTATTTTAGGCCTTCCTGGTGGTCAATTAGTCAAAGGCGGTGCCAAGAACACTTGACTTGCTATATTTTCCACCCAGTAATTGTTAGGATTTGGCATGTCTACTGTCACCACTGGAATCATAGTCCTGCTATAAATCTTTTGTTGTGATGTAATCTTGTAGCATTCATCAACAAAATCATACACATTGCAATTCACAGCCTTAATAGCTGCACAGGCATGGGGACATGGAATGCCTGACATTTGCTAAGCTGCACAGGTGCATTCGCCTAGACCAGATCAACATGTACAACTCCTTTTGCTGTATGGACACACACCCTACCTCCTCCATAAGGTACATTCAACATGCGTGCTGATCTAGCAACATTGTCCACCAATTTTGCATCTATGTTTGGGCCTACACCATTTTTCCAATTACTCATTGCTATGCTTGCTGCATACATCTTCTTTGCCACTTTCTCACGATGCTCATGTATAAGTTGGCAACATTATATCGTCTCTCTTTCAACATCCAAGCATTGAATGACTCAGCAAGGTTTGTTGTGATGTTATCCCACTGTTTAAATGGGAATTTACTTAAGGCCCACCTTTCAACATCATCATGATTAAGAAGCCACTCAAATAATTGTGGATTGAACTTTCTCATGTTATCCATTGCACCATCAAACTCGGTGTCAAGCCTTGCATATGCAATGGCATCCAGGTATTGTGGTCCCTCCTCCCTTGCTTTCCCACTAGTCTTCCTCTTTCCTCTATTTAATTTAATTATTTATGCAATGAAGTTTTCCTTAACATGTCTGTAACAGTATGCATGCCTCTCACCACCAAATATTGCTTGCACAGCACTTATTATTGCATTGTGTCGATCTGACACAATTGTCAATTCCATCTACCCAACTATCTCCTTAATCATGTATAAGAACCATGTCCAATCCTTAAGTGTCTCTCCCTTTACAATATCAATCGCAAAAGGTAACAATTCATTGTCAGCATCATAAGCAAAGGCCGAGAGTAACGTCCCCTTATACGGTCCACTTAAATGACATCCATCAATGTCCAGTACATGTCTAGCACCAGCTATAAAGCCTTCTATACAACACCCATATGCTATGAATGCACGCTCAAATGTGTTATTAGTATTACCCACCCATTTGGCCATAGTTTTGTTATCTGTTTCCTTCAACCGTTCACATATTCATGGAACAAGCATATAAGACTGGTCAGGCCTGCTATGTATGTCCTCTAAAGCTTTTTGCTTCGCCCTGTATGCTTGTTTATATGTCAACTTCACACCATAATCTCTTTCCAAACTCTTCCTTATATCATTTGGATGCCTATCTATGTGATCATTTACCTCATCAATGATGATTGATGATGTCAAGCTAGCTGAACCACAATGTTCCACACGAAAATTGTCTTGAGCATTATGAACATGATCATTTATGAATGTTGCCACACGTAAAAAGGGAGTAGTCTTTCTACCGACTCTTGCACTTATCCTCCACGGACAACCTTCAACACTACATTTCACATACAGTTTTCCCCGACAATTTTTCACATACTTGTACTCAAACTTGTTTGCAATACTGAACTTATGTACTTTCTTCTTGAAATCTTCTGCATTTGCAAAAGTCTGATTCCGTCCTAACAACAATTCCTTCCATTTCAAAGAATTCATCTCCGGCAAAGGTGTAGGTGCACTCACTACTCTGTATAGCAAGCTTACATTAGGTCTTTCACTGCCTCTAGAACTTGTACTTTCCAAAGCATTTCCCTCTAACGTAGGCTCATCACTTTGTTCTGACACTCCTACCATTCTTGAGATCCTGCATTTATAATTACCACTGCTGTTAAGAGATTTACTACAATATTACAACAATTATCAACTTTCATAACCACAAAAAAAATTTCTCACTTACCCTTCTGGATAACCCATTCCTTCCTCCACATTGTTATTACCTTTATGTGCTATATAAATATGTGCATCACGGTCATTATATTCAAATAGATTATCAACTTCACCATCATCTATAAGATCTACCAATACCCTCTCATCAAAACTCAAAGTGTATTTAATATCACAGCCATGACAATCTATGCTGAACCATTCTCCTATCATTGCCCTCAAATCTTCAAGTTTTGTACTCTCATTTATTACGTTTACTCTGACAGTCCCACCATAGTATTTAACTTCACCATCGCCATTTTCTATAAACTTCCCATCTACATGAAAATAACAAGCAAGTCTTCTTGAAGATGCTGATACAATGTTACAAGACATCACTATTTGCTAACCTGCAGCAAACAACATTAAATAAAAAAAATTAACTTTTGCGCGAATTAGTTTCCATCAACGTATGTGACATCTAAAACACACACACAAAGAGAAACTTTTCTTCTATTCACAATTTTATTATAGGGTTTCACAACTCCATTATTGATTTTAACAACGTTCACCACCTGAATGCAAACTTCACACCTACGCAATTGCTTGCCACTTTTTTGATTTCCGTTACGTCATTCGAAATAGTCAATATAAAGTATAAAACCTCATCTCCAACACACCCGTCCCCACCATTGTTCCATAAAACAGCCACAAAAAAGAACTACCCAAACCCCACTATCACGTAATGTGACATGTTCACTCTCTCTCTTGCTACAAACCCTCTTGCCCACAACCAAAATCTATTAAATCAGCAGTCCCAACAAAATGGTGATGCGGAGGAGTAAGATTATACCATTTCCTAAGACTACCGACTTAAACTTACCTCTTTTCAGCTTTAATGTGTTGCTCCAGCATTCCTCTTTCCTTCTTCACGTGCTGCTCAACCTGGTTCTATGTTTATTTTCTCATCATTTTCACTTCCTTTTACCTCACTCATCAGGGCAATTTCGTCTTTTGGCCAAAAATCTGAATTCCAGATTGGTACCCAGTCCCTTATTTGTCATTTTGCTTATTCAGGTGCCTTATTTGTCTTTTTGAAATTCAGGTGATATTTTCTTGTCATTTTCCCTTAAAATAACTTTTCAATTTTATTCTTATTTAATATATACATCTTTTAAAACATAACTATCTATTCCTCTAGTCTTATTTATAAATCTTTTTCAATTTTTCAATATGCTTTACACAGACTAGGAATAACTTTAAATTTCATTAAATTTCATTTAAAATTCAACAACTTTCTAATTTTATCCTTATTTAATACTCTCTCGGTCCTTAATATAGGACCTAATTGTTAAGTTCACTTTGGTCCTGAAATAAGACTTATTTCTCATATTTATCAATTTTTCCTAAATTACCTATGTGGATACTCCCTCAATCATAATCAAGTAAGTGTAAGACGGAGGATATTAAAAAAGATGATTATGGTATTTTAAAAAAACATGTCATATTTTTTATAATTAGCTAACTTACCTAACTTCTTTAATCTAATCAAATTAGTTAAGTAGGTCTTATATTAAAGACCGGAGGAGTATATATTATATCTCAATATAATAATAAATATTGAAGGGTAAAATTGTATATCTATATAAAAAGTTTCTCTCAGCACTTTATAAATAAGACAAAAAATGTTTTCTCTCTCTGCTCTATAAATAGAACCAGAGGAATATACTATAATAAATGAAGGGTAAAATAGTATATTCATGCTGAAAATTAATGAAATAAGTTATAAATAACACCAAGAAAAATCTTCTCCCTCTATCTTATAAATAATACCAGAGGAGTCTGTTTATGTCTCAGAATAATTCAGATTCAAATGAGCAAACTTTATGTTTGTTTATAACACAACCCATTTTCTTCTCCTTTTCCCCATATTTCTCGATCCTTCCGCGCAGAAGTTGGTTCTAAAAGTCATGACTATGACGGATGACAAAACAAAGAAAAAAACAATAGAAGCCTTTGCTGATGATGTCTATGGTATTAGGTTTTGAAACCCTTCCAAATTCTCTGAATTATTTAGATTCAGTGTGTAAGGCAAATTCAGTAGTAATAGGCTAAAATAGTTCCATTTAAGTCAATTCATAGAGCCTCTTTCTGAATTAATCTCGCACTGAATCAGAGTTTTCAACCTTAGGATTATTTGTGATAATCTGAGGTTAGTATTATTAGGAGACAGGAATGGATTCGATTATTGCTGATATTGTATAGCAGAAGTTAGCAGTGATAGGTCAAATGGACGTAGTGGCAGTGGTGAAGAAGCTGAAGAAAGTGGGAAAAGTGAAGATAATATCAGTGGGACCTAATAAGGAAGAGGAGAAGAAAGAAGAAGAGAAGAAGGAAGAAGAGAAGAAATATAAGGAAAAATGAACATTTGGTCCTAGAAATTCTAGAGAAAATTATGTATGCTATCTTTATTATTTGTTTATTTAACTTATAATTTTTATATTTATGGTTAAGTCTTTGTAATTTAAATAATTTTTAATTTGCTCCTTATTATTATATTTGTTGTTAAGATTTCATTACATTATAACAATATGAATTATACATATTTAAAGTATTAAGATAACAGTAATAAAAAAGTATTATGATAAATAAATTTAAACTTTATAAACTATAATGATTCTCTTACAACTTTTTAAATCATAAGCGTTATAAAATTGAATACAGTTGTGAAGATATAAAATATCATTTCTGTTTGTGTCAATATATATATATATATATATATATATATATCATTTCCGTAACTTGGGCATAATGAATTTTTCACTATTGGTTAGTATTTTTTAAATAAATTTTTATTTCTATAACTTCATTTTAAAAGTCGTTTTAAAATATGAAATTAGTAGACAAAATTTGCAGGTGAATATTTATAATTTAAATAATTTTAAATTATACTACCTCAGGTCTTTTAACTTTCAATTTAGTTCTAAATATAAAACCTCAATCTACTCTGTCTCTCATATTTATCCATTTTCATTTAAAATAATTCTTGTAGTAATTGCACATATTAAAAGTTTTACCAAATAGTAATTCTAGTTAATACATATGATTAGTAAAGATATTTTAGGAAAGATAACACCTATTTATTACAAATAGCTAACTTAACTAATTTTTTTAATCTACTTAAATTATTTAATTAGTTTTTATATTAAGTACAGAAAGTAATACAATTCAATGGAAATGAAAGTAAAACTTTAGTTAAATATCCAAAGTTAAGCTTCCTGCTAAAAAAATTGGAAAACAGAAGTCCACAGTGATCAGCCTAGTGAGCCCAATCCCATTAATTAGATCCAACGTGATTCCAATTTCCAGCTATGTGAGCCGACAATGATTCAGATATACACTACAAATAGCTTTTGGTATAATAGGAAGTCAGGAACAATCTCCAAGCAATCCTAACAGACAAGACAATAATGGATTTGAGGTCTTACTCTAAATTTGACACTAATTCAGAGTTAATATAACTTTGAGGGAAGGCATTGGAGCCATCCCAAACTGATTTCAAGGAAGGAAAAGCACTTCGAACTCACATTGAATGAAAATAATTATATTTGAAACAATTTTTTCTTACTCACTTTTAGCTGTCAACATTTTCTATACTTGAATTTTTTGAAATCAACTTCTCAGTGTATCATCTAAACAAATCTCTCTCAAATTGACTTTTTTTTATAAGAGCCTATCTAAATATAAATCATATTGCAGTAATTGAATTTTACCGCAACATTAGTTTGCAAAAGTCAGGGAACAAAAGTTACTTTTACCAAGATTAATTCAAATAAGTCCTAAATGAGTTGATTCAGCATATGCAAATATACCTTGGTGCAAAACCTGTGATCTGAATCAGTTGTAGCACGTTCAAAATTTGATATTAATACACGAAAGATAACGGAAGTGCAACCAGACAATCTTGAGGATTGTTGAAAATTAACTGAAGAAGTCTGATCCATAGAGCACATTGAATTGCCTTAAATACCCGTTTGATCCTCTAGTGGTAGAATACACCATCCAAACCCATTTTCAAGATATGGCATTACCAAATCAAACTGGGATCAACACTCAATCTCTTTTATCTGTCTAGTAATACATCAGGCTACTCAAATCAATACTTAACATGAATAAGGAAATAACTGACAGTCTCAGTTTAGCAATCTGAACCAACATCGTATTAACAACCAAGCTGATTGCTTAATTGAAATGAAAATTCAGGATCACAGCCCTTCATCTAAGAAATTTTCCTATTCTGACACATCTAGATTACTTATATGACTATATCGTAACCGATCAAGCCATTTCTACAGCCATTCTGTAATATCCCCAAGGAATATGCGATCTGATCTTGTTCTCACTAGTGACCTGAACCAGATCGCCTGAATAAACGGAAGAAACAGACATAGGTGGTTAATAGACTCCCTCAGTACCTTGACACAGGGGATAAGACTCCTAAACACGCACATAACGTTTGTGTGAAAAGATGCTAATGGAAGAGTTTTGGCAACGATTTCCACAAACACAACCAATACATCAACAAGCCCGTACCACATCTAGGTAAAAACAAGCAGGAGGTCAAAGTTGCATGTTGCATAGGGAATGGTGCCTTTACCTCTTAGGGATGCTAACCAGTGTAGTTAGAATCCCACGATTCACAATCCGAATTTTGCGATTCGAGATAAAATAGACAATAAAATATACGAATCTCCTATTGTATCTTTTTGTGGCTTAAATCATACAATTCACATTAGAATTGGCGATTCACACCAGAATCATACGATTCAAGCAGTGTTGAGTCACACTGGATCTGACTCAACACGCTAAAAAACTTTTTTCATGTTTATTTTTTCTGATTTTTTTGTTATTTATAGGAGGCAATCTGTTGTATGAATGCTCCCTAATGCACTTATCACTTTCAGCTTATCAAATATCAATCAAAACCTTTTTTTTTTTATTCCCTAATTGATTTTGGAGACTATTTGTCATTGAAATTTGATATGTATTGCTTTTTTAATTTTTTGTGAGTGTATAGAACCTAATATCTATAAACTTTTGATGTTCTCTTCTATAAAATTACCTATATATCATCTTTAATAATTGTTCATGAATCTTGCGATTCTTGATAAGTTTCGATTCAAGATTTAAAAAATAGGCTTTCCAATTCACAATTCATATCCCAATTTGATAACCTTGATGCTAACCTTTCAGAGTGAGTTTGTTGCGTTTTGTTAACGACAAAAAATGCTGATCATAAGTCAACTGATCAAAAATTATTTAGCTAACAGATGCACCATCGCAACATCAACTAGCTGGTCTTACAGCCAGCATTTAAACTTGCTGCTCAACAGATA